CCAGCTGCTCCGCTCGCCGGTTCTCCCACTCTCTTGGGAGCGCGGCTCGCGAGGTGGCCATCAGCGCCCTCAGGCTCCCCTTGAGCTTCTTGCCGCGGCCCTGGAAGGCCGCTCTGATCAGCTCGTGCACCCGCGCGAAGTCAACGGCGGGGAGCTCCGCGGGCTCCTTGAAGTCCAGCTCCAGGATTGCCGACGTCACCTTCGGCCTCGGGTAGAAGGCCGTGGGCGGCACCTGGAAGCAAAGCCTGGCAGGGTGCTGGCCAGAAGTGGTCCTGGCCCAGGGTGCTCCCCGTTTTTTGTGCCATTCTGGGGCCTTCGGGGGCCCTCTGGGCCTCGCGAGGGCTGCTCCGGCAGCCATCTGCGCCTCGGGACACCTCCGGCCAGGGCCACTTGTAGGTGGCGACGTCCGAGCGCTGCCCCACCAACCATCGATTCTCCTGAGTCGCTGGGAGGCGGGGGTAGGGCTCGGACTTCGCCACGCGCTCGACGAATTCGGGACCCTCCCCCGCCGCCCATCTAGTGGCCTGACTCGTGGATCCGCGAGGGTGGGGTTCGGATTCCGCCGCCGAAGTCGGCCTGGGGCGCGTGTAGAGCTGCACCACCGGAGCGAGCCACCCATAGGAGGGGCTCCCTGGCTGGGCCAGGACGCGGTCGGCCACCTCCTTCTGCACCATCACCTGTAGGAAGGCACCAACTATACACCAACACCGATCCTGGCTAGGATCACCCTGGGCCCAGGATCGGTGTATACGCCCTCCTGCCTTGCGCAAGAAGGCATATACACCGATCCTGGGCCCAGGGTGATCCTGGGCCAGGATCGGTGTTGGTGTATAGTTGGTGCCCTCCGAACCTGGGCAGAGCGGACGGACCCGGAGCTCGAGGCGAGCATCACGAGCACGTCCGACACGATGTTGTAGGGCAGGTTGCCCACGACGTGCAGCGAGGCACCACACTGCGCGGACATGGCCGCCAAATCTAACGTCAGCATGTCGGCATGGATGACCTCAAGCCCAGGCGGGTCCCGCCAGATTGGAGGTCCGCGCGTACTTCTTGTGGTATCGGCGCTGGAACCCCCTCCCTGGCGCGCGGAGAACGCGCCATGCAGGGGCGGCGCCAAAGGCGCCGCCCAGGCGCTCCGGCCCCGATCCGAGAAATCCGCGCGGACCTCCGAAACTGTGATTTTGATAGGAACCTCAGGGACGCTCTGGAGACCTCCAGGAACCTCCACCCGGGGGAGAGAAAAGAGGAGGAGGAGGAGGAGCAGGAGGAGGAGGAGGAGGAGGAGGAGGAGGAAGAAGGAGAGGACTCTGCGGGGATATCGCTTCAGCACCAGCTCCTGTGCCGGAAGCGCTGCGATTTCCGCTGATGGGGAGGGCGGTACTGATTGCTTCCTGGGGTTATGGGATTGCTTGTTGCCCGAACACAGACCCCCGACATAATGATTTTCTGCGTAATGTCGACCATCAGAGGTCTGGACCCCCTCCCCTGGACCGGCTTTTCATCCCGAGTCCTTTTTTGACGGTCCCGAGGGCTGGCAGGAGCCTCCAAAGGCCGAAAACGGCGAAACACCTCCCGTCGTGATTTTGCTCACAACGCGAGAGGGCCTGGGACCCCAAGTGAACGACCTCAAGCCCGGGCAGGTCCCGCCGCAGCACCTCCACGGCCCTGTCGTCCAGCTCGACCGCCCGCATGCCGGGCAGTCGCTCCCAAAGGGGCCGCGTGAGCGCGCCGAGCCCAGGAGCGAGCTCCAGCACCGCCGCCGCGGGGGTGCCCTCGTAAGGCCGCTGCACGCAAGAGAGCGGCCCTGAGCAGGGCTGGTCTTTGAGACACGGCTGCAGGGGGCCACGGGGAAGCCAGACCCAGACATCATCGCGTTTTGACTCCTCGTCCTCCTCCTCCTCCTTCTCCTCCTCCTCCTCCTCCTCCTCCTCCTCCTCCGCCTCCTCCTCCTCCTACGCCTCCGCCTCCGCCTCCGCCTCCTCCTCCTCTCCTCCTCCTCCCTCCCATCCCCCCGCTGCCCTCCTCCTCTCCTCCTCCTCCTCTCCTCCTGCCGACTCCCCATCCGCCCCCGCCTCCGCCTCCGCCTCCGCCTCCTCCTCTCCTCCTCCTCCTCCTCCTCCTACCTCCGCTCCGCCCCCGCCTCCGCCCTCCGCCTCCTCCTCCTCCTCCTCCTCCTCCTCCTCCTCCTCGCCCCTCCTCCTCTCGCCTCTCCTCCGCCTCCGCCTCCTCCTCCTCCCCTCCTCCTCCTCCTCATCCTCCTCCTCCTCCCCTCCTCCCCTCATCCTCCGCCTAGCGCCTCCTCATCCTCCCTCCTCCTCTCCGCCTCCTCCTCCGCCTCCGCCTCGCCTCCTCATCCTCCTCCTCCTTCTCCTCCTCCTCCTCCTCCTCCTCCTCCTCCGCCTCCGCCTCGCGCCTCCGCCTCCTCCTCCGCCTCCTCCTCCTCCTCCGCCTCCTCCTCCTCCCCCTCTGCCTCCGCGCTACGCCTCCTCTCCCCTCCTCCTCCTCCTCCTCCTCCTCCTCCTCCCATCGTCGCATGTCTGGGCAGGGAGGTCAGACCCAGGCGCGCAGGCCAGTGCAGGAGGCACCCCTGCGGGCCCGCACCGTGCACGGACCCCCCGGCCGAGAGGGCCGCTCGATTGCGCGAGGCCAGCCTTGGCGGCGGCCGCGTCGAGGAACTCCGCCACGATCTTCGAGATGGTTCGACTGCACGCAAGAGTGACCCTGGGTAAGAGTGACCTTTGGTGCGCGGCTTTTTGGGGGCCGCGGGGGGGACCAAACACGAGCGCGCGAGACGCAACTATCGCATCGCAATCGGTGATCGGGGGACCCCATTGGGCCCGCTCCAAAGGTCACTCCGGCGAAAGGTCACTCTTACGTGTAGTCGAATGGTGTTCGGGTCCGTGAGGTAGTTCTGGCCGAGGGACTTCTTCGGCTGCCTGAGGGGCATGCCACGCGACAAGGGGTCCGGGGCCTTGCTCAGGGGGAAACATGCCCACGCATGCGACGTCCGGAATTTTCCAATACGGGGCCCCTCGGAAGTCCGGACCCTTTCTCTGGGACCGGCTTTGCATCCCGAATCGTTTTTTGACGGTCTCTGGGCCCAGCGAGGGCCCCTGGAGGCCGAAAACGGCCCCAAACCCGCCGACCTCATTCTTCTATACGACGCGGTGATGTAAATAGACGTCGTCGGCTGCCCGGATAGGGGGCCACGTGCGAACCCTACCCCTGCCCCCCACGATTTCCGAGGGGGAGGGTGGGGTTCGCTTCGCTCGGGAGCTCCCGAACGACGTGAACCCCACCCCACCCCTCAGAAATCGTGGGGGGGAGGGGGAGGGTTCGCATGTGGCCCCCTACCAGAGCCCAACCTTCTACTGTTCGCGAAAAGGCCCGTGGCTGACCCCGCCGCCCCCGCCCCCCCCTCCCAGGTCGCGTCACGATTCCCACCGGCGCGCCGCCTGGGACTTCTAGCCATCTCCAGGCATTCCCAGACGGCGCCGCCCGTTCCCGCCAGGGCATGGAAAAAAACAACTGCCTCCCCAGGGAACCGACAGGCGTGAAACGGTCACTCAGGGAACCGGCGTCCGACGAAACGGACAACCAGGGAACCGACGGTGAGCGTTGCGACTGTTTGCAGCAGTGCGTCCTATGGGGGGAGACTCCACCCGCTAGAAACAGGTGTCAAAAAACAGCCAAGGTCCACTCCATGGGGGGGAGGGGGGAGTGCGAGGGCGCGCGCCGATCGGCAAAACAATCAATAAAAACGATCACACGTCCGCACGCGGCATCCGGAGCTGTTTGGGCTCAAGGCGTCAAACCGCACAAGGCTGCTCCCAGGTTCGGCAAGCGCTGGGGAGCCAGGGCCTAGCAGCAGAGCTAGGAAAAGCATCCCCTTCACATCTTGCAGCCTCCCGAGGGAAACGATGAGGGAGGGCCAGCTCAGGCGGGAACACGTCGAGCTGGACTCGGCGATACGTTTATGTCGGGCGTGTCCCCCTACAGGAGGATTTTCGACGAAACATAAAAAATACTCTAAAAAGCCCCCAAAAAGGTCCAACAAATATCCCAAAGATAGTCCCCAGACTATTTTAGGAGCATTTTTGGATTATTTTGAAGATATTTTTTCGTCGAAAATCTCCCTGTAGGGGGACAGGCCCGACTTAATTATAGCCATCTCCAGGCATGGAGAGGAGGAAGGAAAATTGTCCAAAAATAGTCTGGTGACTATGTCTGGGATATTGTTTGACCTTTTTGGGGCTTTTTGGGGGTGCTTTTTAGTTTTCGTCGAAAATCCCCCTGTAGGGGGACAGGCCCGACTTAATTATAGCCATCTCCAGGCATGGAAAGGAGGAAGGAAAATGGTCCAAAAATAGCCTGGTGACTATGTTTTTTTTTTTTTGGGGGGGGGGGGCTTTTTGGGGGTGCTTCTTATTTTTCGTCGAAAATCCCCCTGTATGACTACCTACCAATCCACCCCAACCCAACCCGAAGACCCGAATTTCGGGTGGGGGTGGGGGGGTACGGGCTTCATGTGTGTCTTCTCAACGTTCCCCGACCCCCCCCCCCACTGGAAATGGAGGGCAAGTCGGGGCCTTCGGGTTGGGTTGGGGTGGTTTGGTGGGCGGTGCCTATTCTGGGTTTTTTTTGACTTTTTGGGGTTCTTTGGGGGTGCTTTTTACTTTTCGTCGAAAATCCCCCTGTAGGGGGACAGGCCCGACTTCTGGTAGTCCCCAAACGTGGTGGTGACAACACCTGGCGGTGAGTCTCGGGCGATTTGGTGTCACCACCCGGTTTGGGGGCTCGTGCGGTTTTCCGACGATGTCCCGAACGTTGGTGGGTCCAGGAGTCACAGAACCCGGCGGTGACCCCGCGCCCCCAAACCCAGCGGTGACCTTTTCGGGGATTCCAGGTCGCCACCTGGTATCTCACCACCCCGTTGGGGGGTTCCCAAGACTTCACGATACGTCGCCGATGTACGCCTCGGCGACGTGCCCCCGCGGGACGGCGACGCCGCGCGCTCCCGCGGCGGGGTGGGCTGCCGGGCCCCCCCAGGGGGCGACATCCGTGGGCCGAGCCCGGACCCCCGACGCCCATGCTCTTTTCAACAACGTCGACCCCCCTCCTCCCTCCTCCTTCCTCCCTCCTCCCTCCTCCCTCCTCCTTCCTCCCTCCTCCCTCCTCCTTCCTCCCTCCTCGCTCCTCCCTCCTCCCTCATCCTTCCCCTCCTCCCTCCTCCCTCCTCTCCTCCCCCTCCTCCCTCCTCCCTCCTCCCTCCTTCCCCTCCTTCCTCCTTCCCCTCCTCCCTCCTCCTCCTCCCTCCTCCCTCCTCCTCCCTCCTCCTTCCTCCTTCCTCCTTCCTCCTTCCTCCTTCCTCCTCTCAGAAGTCTCAATGGGCCGATCCCGGACCCCCGGCGCCATGCTTTTTTCACAACGTCGACCCCCATCCTCCTTCCTCCTTCCTCCTTCCTCCTTCCTCCTTGCTCCCTCCTCCTCCTCCTCCTCCTCCTCAAAAGTCTCGACTGAAGGGGCCACAAGTAAATACACACAGATCAAAGGATGCCCCATATTTGTCCATATCTTCTGGGTTTCTGTCTTCCCCCCCACTTCCCATATTTCCCATATTTTCCTTGGAGTGGACGGTTGATTGTGTCTGTGGTTTTTCCCCTCCTGAAGGATTTTTTCACAACGTCGACCCCCAGAAGTCTCGATCCAGTCCCCCGGACCGGTTTTTCATCCCGAGTCGTTTGTTTGACGCTCCCGAGGCCTGGTTGGAGCCCCCAAAAAGGCCGAGAATATCGAGAAGCCTCCCGTCATGACTTGTCAATTGCCCGAGGGGGTCTGGCAGGGGGGTCGATGCGTCCCCCCTGAGCCCATCCCCCCCCCCCCCCCCAACGTTGCCCCCTGGCTTTCGGGTCCTATAACTCGGCTCTCCGCCCTGCAGCGGCCCTGCAGCGGCCGATATCGGGACGATCTGGGCATTAAAGTGTGGTGCGTGCACGGGCGAGCACGCGAGAACCCTGACGGGCGGGTCGCGTCGGGTCGGGCGGGCGGACCCTGTCGGGCGGGTCGGGTCGGGTCGGGTCGGGCGGACCCTAACGGGCGGGTCGGGTCGGGCGGGCGGGGCATCAAACTGTGGTGTGTGCACGGGCGAGCACGCGAGAGCCTTGACACTGCTCTCGGCTCTCCGCCCTGCAGCGGCCCTGCAGCGGCCGATATCGGGACGATCTGGGCATTAAAGTGTGGTGCGTGCACGGGCGAGCACGCGAGAACCCTGACGGGCGGGTCGCGTCGGGTCGGGCGGGCGGACCCTGTCGGGCGGGTCGGGTCGGGTCGGGTCGGGCGGACCCTAACGGGCGGGTCGGGTCGGGCGGGCGGGGCATCAAACTGTGGTGTGTGCACGGGCGAGCACGCGAGAGCCTTGACACTGCTCTCGGTGAGGCACAGCTCGAAAGCACCCCGAGGCTGGAAAGCCGCAGGCAGCAGAGCAGAGGCCCGGTCGAACCGAAAGGTCGGCCCGTGAACGGGTGGGGCACGATGTGGAAACATAAAAGCAGTCCGACCTGCATGCGTGATGTGAAGGACGTGCACGACGAGGGAAAGATGCAGGGCGCAGAGGAAGACACCCGAAAACCGCTCGAGCCTCGAACCTCCCCGGAGCCCATCCCCCCGAACGTTGTCGCCCATACGGAGGCGTGGCCCTGAGCAAGACCGACTCGGGTGCGAAGCCTTCGGGGGCGCTCGCGGGGGTGCCGGGTCTCGGCGCGCAGGCCACTGCTTCGAGTAGGGGATCGACTACAGAATCGGTTTACCCCTAAATTGATTCCCTCGTCGACTCTACAGCGAAAGTACGTATAATTTTACACGGATTCGACAGACATCGAATTTCGGGGTAAACCGATTCTGTAGTCGATCCCCTACTCGACTGCTGGGGCCACCCCTGCGGGCCCGCACCACAGGCGACTCCGACGCAAGGTCACTCCTTCGCGCACGGCAGGGGTCGCGTCGTGACGACCCCGGCGTTGGTGCCTGGCACGGCGCGCCTCGTTCGACCCGGAAGGATCGGCGGCTTTTCGACTGCCAAGCCGCGCCACGTGGGCCGACTCTGGGCTTATGTCGGGCGTGTCCCCCTACAGGGAGATTGTCGACGAAAAATGAAAAAGTACCCCAAAAGTACCCCAAAAAGGTCAAATCATATTCCAAAAAGAATCCCCAGACTACTCTTGGACTATTTTTGGACTATGTTTGGGGTATTTTCTATTGTTCGTCGAAAATCCCCCTGTAGGGGGACAGGCCCGACTTAACTCTGGGCCGCTGGCGGCGTTCCTTCGAGGCCCGCGCGGGGACCCCCGCCGCGTCGACGCGGCACGAGCCTAGCGCACCCGACGCTGCCCCGACTCCGGCTCCGCCATGCTTTGGCTGCTGCTTCGAATCAAAAATGGGTCGGAGGTGCACCCCAAACGATGAAAACAAAGAGGGAAGACACTTCCGCCTCAGATTTCTGCTCTGGCGCAAGTATTTGTTTTCCCCCGACTCCGGATCCGCCATGCTTTGGTTAATGCTTCGGATCAAACATGGTTGCCGTGCTTTGGTTTCAGCCTTGGCATCCTTCCCAAGCTTTCTGATATCAGCAGCGATCTCAACAGTTTTGCAGGTAAGGTTGGATGGCTTTGGAAATTGAGGGACTTTCCAAGCCATGAGCGGCTCGATTACCATGATGCTTCGAATCAAAAATGGGTCAGAGATGGGTCGGACATGTAGAAAGCAGAAGCAAGGCGGGGCACGCCGGACCGCAGGGGACGTCCCCGCAACCGCCCTGGCGCTCCGCGTGTGGGGGGCGGCATCCTGCGCACCCCCTCTTGGCGTTGGGCCACGCCTGCCGCGCCCTGCGAACTTGGCAGGGACAGGGACTGCGTTCAGGGACCACCCCCTGCGCACCCTCTCTTGGTCGCGAACGTGCTACACATGACGCGCCCTGCGACTTGGGGTGGATCGAGGCGGCGCTCCGGGACCTTTCCATGCACACCCTCCCGCGCTGGCGCCGACAGAACGCCGCGCGAGCCTCGCCTCCTGCGACCCTGGCGCGGATGGAAGCCGCACTCGGGGACCACCCGATGCGCACCCCTTCTGGTGCCGAGAGGGCCCCAGAAAGGGGGC